AGAAACTATGCAGTCATAACAATTTTCAGCAAGTTCGTGCAGTTGTTAAATGTAATTATTGCATGACAATAAAACCAGTGGCGTAGATTAGATATATTTTTCGGATATCAAGTAAACATATGAAATAGTTTTGTTAATAGTTTTCCAGTTTTCGTAGTTTTTCTGTATGGTAAATATAGTTTTAAATATTTTTTTTGTAACCTCTATTATCCTTTATTTCATTTATTGTTTTTTATTGTAATTTTTATTCTACTTTAATTATTGTACGCACCTATTCATTCTTTAAAGTAACTCTTATATTATTACTTCTTTCAAGTGTAATATTGAGGGCAAATAATTATAAAACTACAAATAATAATACACTTATGTATAAATTTTATGATATGATCGTTATTAGATAATAATAATAATAATAATAATAATAATTTGACATAACAATAGTAGATATAGTAATAAAATAAAGATGAAAGTATAAATTATTGTCTAATTTTTACCTTTAGATGACTGAAAATATTTATTTACATGCCTGAATATAGTTTATAGTTTATAATACAACAAAAATTATTTCATTAAATATATTTTTGCGTATATTACTGCAAAGTGTTGTTAAATTATTATTTGCACGATGCTGGAAAAGCAAGTGCAAATGTTAATGGTCAATTTATGAATCCTTGGGCATCTTCAATATCGTGACCGTAGGAAATTATTGAAAGTCATAATTCTTTTATATAAATTAGTAGTTACCGTAAATAATTTGATAAAGTACACAAATGCGATACGAGGGCCATTCAATAATCTCATTAGAACTATAGTTTATTAAAAGGGGATTTTTTTGCAAAACCTTAACAAAATATCGAAAATGTAACTGTATAATTTGAGAAAAAGAAATATAACCAACTTTTAGGTAAGGTGGACTATGATACACAATTTATGTATAAATATTTGACGTACCTATATTCTCAATACTAAACCTTTAAGGTAGGAAATACCACATTGTTGTCATGGTTTTGGTATAGGGTTTTTTTAGTGTTCTGTTTTCAATTTGGCCAAAAAGAACAGTATTTGACGTACACAATTAAAATTTGAAACAGTTGAAGTAAGTAGTGGCCCAAATGATTAATTTTGAAGATTAGTTATGGGGAGGATGCAAATTATAAAAAAAAGATTTTAAAAATGTATAATACGTTTTTTTATGCTATTTTTAATTTAACTCTTTTTCGAAAAATGCTTAAAAGTTGCTGTTTCCCCAACTTAAGTACGGAACACTACTGCGCAAGTTCGAGTCATATAAACAAGATTATTTTTGCTTGCAACATGATTATTTTCATTTAGGGGTAGGGATGGGGGATGGGATTTGAAGGTGGGGGAATAGTATCGGCCACTTTATAGAACCTTTTGTTAATAATGTCAAAACAAATGTATATTTGTTGAATTAATAAATGTTATATTGTTTTAGTAGATTTTAATTAGGAATTATTAATATTATTAAACTAATTGTCAGTAATTAAAGAGAATTTACTTGAATAATTATTTTAAACAAAGAATACTTAGAAAAAAAAAGTTTGCTACACTGGCAATTATTATACGTAATAAAATTAATTGGCAGAAATCTTTCGACACACACGATATATGGTAATTTAAAACAATAATAAAAATAAAACGGGGCTGCCCATACATCATTACCTACTTCTTCCTTACCTTATTATTTGGAATTAATAAACAGCTACCTTTATGTAGGCTGCTACAAGTGGGATGCGGGAGGCTGGTTATTTTTTCTCCGTAGCAGCCTTCTAAACGACTATTTTAAAATGCGAAACCGCAATCGTAGGCTTTCATCTGGATTTCAAGACAAAATACACAAATAACTTTAATTTAAAAACCATTAGTTATTAATAAACAACAGTAAAATATATAACGGAATCGAAATACTAGTAGGATAGTATTTATAGCCAAAAAATGTAACATTTATAGAGAATGATCAAATAATACACTCGTTTCAATTTATCTTTTAATTATATGTCTACTTAAGTTGGAATCAGTGGCGGCTTGTGTTAATTTAAAATGGGTGTTCACTTTTTCCAATAATTTTATCATTTGTAAGTTCGGATCAAAACTTTGTACAAGAGTCAATATTGCTGTTTTTTTTATTATTTGAGTTTGTATTAAGTGTAGTTATTATTATCAACATCATACTGTTTCAAGCACTACAACTAATAATAAATGAATATTTTAGTTATTGTAATATTTGTTTTGTTTTTAATACGTTGAAAACCATCTATAAACATTATTAGTTAGTAAACTGACTTTTCTTCATAATTTGAGATTATTTTTAAATATATATCAGGTTATGTAGAAAGCTTGACATTGATTTTTGTGTAAAAAATTTAATATGAAACTTTACTTACCATTTTTTAGTTTTTATTGTAAGTTTAATCATTTTCACAATTTGTCAAAGATGTCAAATAAAAAATATATTTTTTAAATACCTTTTATTGGTAAATAAAATAAGAACTAAAATGTTTTAAATGTTTATTTTATAAGATCAGTCCCATCACAATACATAATATTACACAGACACAAACTAAAATAAAGATATACAGTAGAACTCCAATTATCCGAACTCCGACTATCCGAATCGCCGATTATCCGAATCACAAATGCGCGTCAAGTCTTGACGGAGATGTTTAAAAAACAATGATTTTTATTTCTAAACTTGTACATAAGTACATTTTATTTATATTTAAAACATGTGAAAATTTCATGTTTCTTTCATTTAATTCAATAAAAAAATAGTGCAATATCAAAACGTAGCTTTTATTCTCTCCAATGGCAATTTTTTAAAAAAAAATCCGATTATCCGAATATTTGATTATCCGAATGGGTCCCGGTCCCCATTAATTCGGATAATTGGAGTTCTACTGTATAATGCCTGGCATTCTAAATTATATTCCCCAGAGCCCCTTAACCCCCATTTTCAAACAGATTGTTTTCACAATCAATAGGCCTCAACTCCTTATAGAGCTTGATTTTTACTAAAAATTTCATGTTTATATCGCTTTTCATTTTTGATTTTTTTTTAATTTCAACCCTCCTTAAATCCCCCATATTTAATCAGATTTTTTTTATAATTAAAGGGCTTCTTCTCCTTTTAGAGTTTGACGTTTGCTAAAAATTTCAAGTTTATATCACTTTTCGGTTTTCAGTTAAGATTTTTTTTTAATTTTAACCCCTCTTAACTCCCCAATATATTCATATTTTTTTCAGTATCAATAGGCTTTATCTTCTTATAAAGCTTCATTTTTACTAAAAATTTCATGTTGATATCGCTATTGGTTTTTAATTTAGATTTTTTTTTAATTTCAACCCATCTTAACCCCTTATTTTTAATCAGATTTGTTAAAAATCAATAGGCTTTTTCCCCTTATAGACCTTGATTTTTGCTTAAAATTTTCAAATTGATATCATTTCTCGTTCTTGACTTATCATGCAGACAAAAAACATTACAATTGTGAATTGTACTAGACTGGCAACACTGGTTCTTTGACAGTTTAAAAAATTTGTTGGCCTGTTTTCTTCTCTTTTTAGCTATATGCATTCACCTTATCGTCTCACTCGTGTTAGGCTCATTCATCATAATGCGCCACAGACACAGTAAACTTAGGTATACTGTGCCACAGAGATGCAATCAGCCAGAGGACAATGATGTACCAAAAAATATAGATTAACACGTATGAAAATAAAAATATTAAAATTAAATTTATATTTTTATGTTATTTATGTAATTTTAAAATAATGTGTTTTTATGAAATTTAACTGGGTGTTCACTGCACAAATGAACCAATGGAGAAACCGCCCCTGGTTGGAATCATACCGGTTTTTTTTATTACTGATTTTTAAAAAAAAGTTAGGACTTTGTTTTGAGTGGAGAGTGCCTTCCTATTAACCAATACGTATTTCTATATTTAATATTTTCAGTTTTCATCTTAACATGCTCCCTCCATTTTGGTTTAGGTATTTTGCGATGTTTTTATTAGATATAATATTGTTGTTTAAGTTTATTGGTATATATTTTATTCTTCTATTAGCAAAGTTAATGTGAGCGGAGTTTTCTTCGTTAATTTTTGTGAGGAACTGTGGCTAATTATACATTTTCTATCTCTGGAATGTCATAGATGTATAATAAATATAATACTGGCCTAAAAACACTTCCCTGGGGTACGTCATATCTTGAAGGCATATATTGACTTGTGTTGAGAATATTGGTTTTCAATTTTAACTTTGTACATTAGCTGGGATAAATGTGTTTCTAGTAGTTGGACATATTACATCGAGAAAAATGTCTTTATTTTAAATAGTAGACCTTGACGCCACACTTTATCGAAGAAATACCGCAGAGCAATTTTTTTTTCTACAGATTTCTCTATTTAATTTATTATGCAATGAAATCTGATCAATCGTAGAATGTTTACATCGAGAAAAATTTCTTTATTTTAAATAGTAGACCTTGACGCCACACTTTATCGAATAAATACCGCAGAGCAATTTTTTTTTCTACAGATTTCTCTATTTCATTTATTATGCAATGAAATCTGATCAATCGTAGAATGTTTATCTCGAAATTACAATTGATAGGACGGGATAAGTTGTTTTTTGTCGATTATCTTATTCAGTCTTCATAAGACCAATGTCTCAAATAGTTTTAATATCATAGATAAAAGGAGATGGCGTTATTTCGTTATTGAGATTTCCTCTGGTTGGTACCATTATTATCTTAACAGTTTTTCATAGTAGTGCAATATTTATCTTTTTGACTGATACTATTTGCTATCTATTGGTTGCATTTAGTGTTTTAAACTATATAGAACTTCTAATGAAGAATAACTTTTTTCTTCTAAAATTAATAATAACAAAGTATTCCATAATATGATTCCAACAAAAGCCAATGTCTACTGTTATTTGAGACCTAGAATATAAAAAATAATAATTGTTTTTTTTTTTAGAAAACGATGAGACTGTTCAAACGACGAAATTCCGATCCGAATCCACAAATAGAAAATTTTTCAACACATGCTGAAGCAAATAGTAGTGACAATGAAGAATCATCGAAATCATGTAAGTGTTCTTAATACAAATTAACGGGAAACTGATAAACTTGTGGGTGACCAGTTTCCAACCAAAAACTGATTCATGTAACCTCAAAACTATCAGAGATTAATCGCCGCAATTGTAGGTGACCCATTTCCAACCAAAAATTGATTCATGTAACCTCAAAACTATCGGAGTCGACACAATTGCGGTGTTATTAGAATTAATAATTTAGCTTATCTACAAATATTTTATACATTCTATAAATTTTATAAATTCTCTCTTCTAGATCTCTCCGTATGGGGAAGAACTTGGGATAAGCTCAAACGTGGTGATTCTTCCGAACGAATTCCCTCAAATAAAGAAAGAAAACGATATTGGTCCCCCCTCAAAAGAGACACCAACAATCCTAGTAATTCCAAGAACGTAGAAGAAAAATCTGAACTAAGACTGTCACAATCTGACTTAAGAAAAATATACGATATGTATCGAAATATGAACGACAGGGGTGATAAAATAATTAATAAAAACAGAAGGAATGCTAGGTGTATATCAGATAATTTAGAACTAAGCCAACAACAGCTTCTAGATTACCTCATCCTTATGAAACCTAGTACCCAGGAACTCGATAGGATTTTCAGCGAAATAGCTGAAGATGAACCCAGACACGAACCTAAAAGGTTAGGTAGACTTTCAGAAGAAAAAAGATCCAGGGCGTCAAAATTTAAGTCTATGTTTTCACGATCATCAAGTAAATCTGACGATGAAGGTGACTTAAGGCACCATCCTAAAAACTCATCTACAGACAGCCTAACAAGTTTAATAAACTTTATAATACCTGGTAGACGATCGACATCTAATAGTTCTCCTAAATTGCCAAATAAAATTATTAAATCTGATGAAAGTGGATATGGTAGCGATTCTACAAAGACAGTAACTAGTATAGACTCTCCAATAGGGTCTATTAAATCTCAAACCAGCGCCATATCTACAGATCAAAGTAAAGATAATACTGCAGCTACTACAAGTGACTATTATCACGATGACACAGACACAGCGGAAGAAGACAACGCTGAGGAATCTCCTGTCTTCAGGATATCTTCAAAAAAACGATCCAGATCTAGAGGTGAAGATACTGACTCCTTCAACAGAAGAAAATCGTTCAAATTTAAAAGATCTCCCACCAAAACCAATAAAGAAAAAGAAAAATTAAAAATGTCTGTTGAAGATTTGACTCAGAACTACTGTGATAAATTGAAATTAAATACGGAGAATGTGGAATTGAGGGCTAAAAAGAGACAATGTACCAGTATAGGTCATTTGGAGAAGGAATATAAATGTGTAACGCTAAAGATTGGACGAAATGACATGTTAGGTTTAAAGATTGGACCGAGTTATGGTGCAGATTCATCTGTGACGTATTCTATTACTGATATACTACCAAATTCCGCTGCCAAGAGGTAAGTTTTTCGTAATGAGTTGTTGGATACAGTAATACATTGTGCGGGTTTGCATTATTATACTTTCTGACCTTCTTTTTTAAATTCATAGCTATTCCATGATACCCATTAGGTCCTATTTATTCTTGTAACTAATTTAAACAAACACTGAAATATAAATGCTAAAAAGTGTATTAACTCATTCTTATATACAGTATGATGCAAATGTGCGGAATAAATTAATTATTTCAAAAATAGATATTTGAAAAAAACTTGCATAGACATTGCACGATATCGCCATGGACGTGTATTTTCATTTTTATACATTTGCATCATAGTAGTAGAGGTCTTAATGAAGAACTTAATTTTATCTATTTATTCTATACATACTTAAATGGTTTCTGCTTTTCTAAACGTTCCCATCTGTCAAACAAACTCGTTTTTCCTATAATCCGCATCAATAGTTATCACGTCAATATTATAATAATAAATAATATTTTTGTCTTTTTAGAAATGGGATATTAAAGATGGGCGACGAAATAGTTAAACTGAATGGAATTCGAATTAAAGGATGCCCCATAACTATAGTAAAAAGTTACTTGGAACCTAAAAATGGAGAGATAGAAATACTTGTAACCAGACCGCTTAGACCAAATTCCAGAAAACCAAGTCCGGTTAAATCAAGTCCTAAAAGAAAGATATCTAATCTAATAGATAAGAAAGAATCTAAATCAACACTTCGGCTGCCTTTATTTAGTACTAAAAAAGAAACTTTAACACATCTTGATATACCTGAAGTTAGTACTCGAAAATATAGCGTGTCTTCTGCAATAAATATAACCAGTGCTCCGAAAAGGTACGTCGGTTTATCAGACATTTTGAACGATAAAATTGACGAGTTAGAAACGAAAGTTACCTTCAGCGAAAAGCCCAGAACAGATGATGAGATTTTCAAAAAGCCAACGCTGGATTCGAGAAAATATCAATTCGATTCTCAAAGTGTCACTGGCATGAGAAAGTTTTCTGTATCACCAGATTTGTACGGACGAAAAGGAAGTCATAATGAGGAAATCAATAATTGCAAACGAGACAAATCTAATCATAAGATTGTGGAGTTTCAAAAAGGACCAGGATGCAAATCTCTTGGATTTTCGATAGTTGGAGGAAAGGATTCACCTAAGGGACCAATGGGGGTTTATATTAAAACCGTTTTTCAACTTGGCCAGGCAGCTGACTCTGGAATAATAAGAGAAGGTATGCAATTATCTTTGAGACCATACTGTATATGAATATAATTTAGTAAACTTAAATTGATTGAATATTATTCTTTTGTTTTCAGGAGATGAAATTATTTCAGTAAATGGTACTTCTTTTCGGGGATTATCCCACCATGAAGCCGTAACATTTTTCAAGAGTATTAAATGTGGCAAGGTTTTAATGGAGGTGGCACCACGTCATTATCAGAAGATTCTTTCAAGTTCCATATAAATCCAAAATGTTTATTCTATATGGCGTTCATTTTGGAAATATTCTTTAAATAATTTTTTATATACGATTACCGAATTTATGCGTTAATTTTGAGTTTAATTTTGCAACGAAAACTTTATATTTCAAAACTAATTCGAATAATAATTTATATATTTATAATTTCATTAATTTTTGGTATAACTGAAAGCAGGATAAAGCATTTAGTTACAGAGCTGTTCAAACTATAAATTATGTGCTTCAGTTAAGTTTAAAAGGTAAAAAGATATTGAATAAAGAATTATGAATTATTTAAATGTAATAAGTATGTTATATTCGGAGGATTATAATAGAATGAAAATAAGTTTTAGTTTTGTTATAATATGTTGATTTAATAAGTACTTGTTATTTGGTGATTTAAAGCACTCTAGCTAAATACTTCTAATGTAAAAGTATTTCTTTTGGTAACTTTGGTACGGTAAAATATTCGAGACGGGTGGTTTTTTATTTCGGATGAAGCGCATTTCTACAAATAATAATTTACACTAATTTCAACCCGTTACTCAGGGTACCTAACCCCTTATAATTTTCAAATAGCAATTGATAGCTCATTTGAAATGATTTACAACTTTTTTTTTATTGTGGAAATGTGCTTTATCAGATATAATTATTACGTTCGCACGGTATAATATACAGGGTGGCCGATTAATGGGAAGAAATTCAATATTTCTCTTATCAATTAAAATAAAAATTTGTCCAAATCTATAATTTTTGGGACTTATAATAACAAATAATAAATAGTGAAACAATATGTGCAGGGTACAAAGTTTTAGATGTTTAAAGAATAGCAGGTTCATGTCCCTGTATAAAATCGCCTGTACATAAAAATAAACTTTTGGTCCTCTCAGACGTTTCAGGTAACTTTGGACTTACCAAATAGTTTGACTCAAACTGTCAATGATATTTTTTTTGTTAATAATATTTGTCATGAACTATTTTTCACATTTTGTCGTTGCAATATTTAAAATCCTTAGTATTAGGGAGCACATACGGGGGAGGGGTAATGGGGGTAATTACCTAAACCGAGTTGATAAGGGAGATATTAGACTTCCTCGTGGGACACTCTGTATAACATCAAAAGTAGACAGATTGGACATTTATTTTCTTTATATACACACATCGCCAAAATTCTTAGACCCCTTATGTTTGTCAAAATGGGACACTATTATTAAAAATCAAGAAGTGTGTTACATAGTACTTTTAATTTGGTTATGTATTCAATCCAAATTTTAACTGAACAAGAAAAAAATACAAACGAAAAATAGTGCATAATAAAATGATTACTAGAATTGGAATTCCAGAAGAAAACCACTTTATTCGGTGTGTTCTCCCCTGTTCTATAGTAAGGGTGTTAATGTAATCCATTGGTATGCTGTTTCATTCTTCTTGGGCCGCGACTGTGAGTTCCTGGAGGGTGATAGGAGGATTAATTCTGTTTGAGATTGCTCTTCCAACGAAATCCCACATGTGCTCAGTGGGATTCATATCTGGCGAATTTGCTGGCCACGGTAAACTTTTAATATTCTGAATTTCTAGTACATTTTGTACCCTTCTCGTGCGATAGGGCCTAACATTGTCATCTGTGAAAATAAAATTGGCTCCAATTTTATTTCGGAGAGGATAAATAATGGGTTCAATAATGTTTCAAACATATGTATCGGTTGGCATAGTGTCTGGAATGGAAATAAGCTGCGTACGACGATCATGCATTATGCCTCCCCAAAACATTACTGTTCCTCCTTGGTATGGATCGACTTCTCTGACAAAAGATAGTCTTTCTGGTCCCCTGGCCCTCTCCAAACTTTGTGTCGCCGACTATCACTAAAACCAAATCTGGTTTCGTCCCAAAAAAGGACATTTTGCCACTGAGCTAAAAGCCAGTCTTTGTGTTCCTGTGCCCACTGTAGATAAGCGGCTATGTCTGGGAAGTAACCTGGGTACTTTTAATGGTCTCCTAGATCGCAAATTGACTCCAGCAAGTCTTCGCTGTATTATGGTACTGGAAACGAATCTACCATACGTTCTTCTAAAATGAGTTCGGAGAGCTGAGACTGTTATGGTTCGATTCCGACGTTCATAACCTGCTACATACCGATCTTTTCTTGCATTAGTTACACTAGGAAGCCCAGTCCCACATCTCCAGTCAACGCTGTTAGTTTCCTGGTACAAACGCACTATTCGGATAACTAAAGCGTGGGGAATCCCTTGTCTATCCGTGATTCGATGATTTGGCAGACCCTCATTGGTATATATACTGGACCCTCATCATGCAGAGCCACTATTCTTGCTCTAGTGAATACTGAAATTCGAATGCCAGGCAAAGAAAAACTCAACAATCACTTAAACACGCTAAATCGGTATGAACCACTTTTTTGGTATCCAACATTGTTGGAAATTGTTTTTGTAAACATTTTTAGATGCGTATCAACGGTGAAATAAATAAAGATTAAATGTACAAAAAAACAGCCATGATAAATATTTCGTTTTAATATTTACGAGGGGGTCCAAGAATTTTGGCGATGTGTGTAAATATGAAAATAAAACACGACACGGCTATGATTGAAAATAAGAAGTATAACATTATCAAAATTGGCTGCTAATATAAATCAGTGGTCTCAAACTTTCTTTTTGATTTTTGTACGTTATTTTAATATAAGAGACACTTTAAGAACCACTGATGTAAGCTTTCTTAAATGATAGTTCTTAAGACTGATCTCAAATATATACAAGAAAGGATATCTTTAATGTATTTTCTACACCAACAAAATTTCTTGAAATTTGAATATGCTATTGGGAAAGCTAAAGTAAGAAGTTTGTTCAATTGCACCATTCTTTTAACTATACAGGGTGGTACCGAAAATTCAGTTAAACGTCATACGTGCATATGAATTAATTTGTAAAGAAATACATATTTTTTTTTCGTGTGGCACCAAACGAAAAATAAGTACAATTTTAGATTTTAGTTTTCAAAATGATATATTTAATTAACTGGAGAAAATACTAATTTATAAAAATAATGGTAATCTGCATTTTACATATATTTTCTATCAGAAAAATGTAATAATGTTTCCAAAATCCCAGCACTAAATTTGAATTTTAGGAATATTCAATATTCAAATGTAGGTTTTTTTCGCAAACCTTGCCAATAAGGCTATGGTATATTACATTACGAGTTTAAAAAATCTCTTTTAAACAAGTGATGTATATTATTTTTCCTACGACCACAAAATATAAAACCAGGAAATCAAGATGTGACTGGTTCTAGGTTTGGATTTTATTTGCGTTATTGGTTTTGAACATTAAGTGTTTTATCGAAATTTAGATTTGACTACGAATAATTTTATAGAATGTTTAAGATAGGTACAAAAAATATTTTACAATACAATAATATTTTTTGTTTAGTATATTCTATTAACCTTACCTTATTATATTAATATTTTTGCCTAACTAGGGGTTATATTATGATAAATAAATTGATTATTTATGAATAAATAAATTTTTTTATCTAGATTTATATTTATTGATTTAAATGCATATTTAGGTCTTTATGACTTTTGAGACAGGTATTTCAAATTATTGATAAAATCAATCCATTTTTTATTTTGTATACCTTTAAGGACATTTTGTATTTGATTTAGAATATGCATTTGCACATATGACTGACCTGACTTTTCGATGTCACAGAATTGGTGCAATGAAAAAAATACACATTTGAAGACATATTTTGTCTTTAAAGTACCAAAAGCTATATTCATTGTGAAATATGATAGTTTTAACTCTTAAATTCATTTGCACGTATGCCTTTGAAATTAATTTTCTTTATCGCCTAATATCGTATTAGAATTTCAAGAAATTTTGTCCGTTTAAAAAATTAATTAAAACTGAGATATCCTTTGAAAATATAATATTAGGTATATATTTCTAATTTGATACTTTTTTAACTATGTACATAGAAGTCAATAAAATAAATTGTGTAATTTTTTCAAAAAACTCAAAAATGAGAAAGATACAGAATTAAAATATCCAAATCCGGTTCTGTGCCTCAAAACGTAGTTTTTAGACATTACATTCCCTAATAGGTGGATCGGTCTAAATGGACACATTTAAAAAAAGACGTATCAACTTAGAAATCACCTTTAGGAAGTAAGAGCGAGGTTTATCCAAATATCAATAATTTTTAATGCGTTTTCATGTTACTCTAATGTAGTATATTTACTAAAAAATTGGATAATAAAGGATATGTAAACATATTCAATTTATTAAACCATTCTTTTCAAAATATTGAAATACCTCTTGATATTTTTAATATGAATAATATTTGTATCATCAAGATACTTTTCAGCCTGTGCCTTTGATAGAATATCAAACTTTATACTCGTAGAACATATTAGGTAATTTGATATGAAAATGCAGTAAAAAGCTTTGGATATAGTTCGCACGATTTTAGTTACTTTTATATAAAATACCCTAAACATGACTGATTTATCACTAAGAAAATACTTAGCTTAAAAATATAATTCTTAATATATTGCTATTACTGATATTTAGGTGTATATAGTTAATCGTGAATTAAATGGTGCTATGGCAACTAAATATGTATATAAATATATATTAAAGTAGGTACAAATATACATACCTATACTTAATATTTTAATTTATTTTTGTGGGGTATTTATTAAAATTTGTAAATATTAGGTATTTTCATAAATAAATACATTTCGTTAACGCTGTTACCAACTAAAATATTTAATGCGTTAATATAATTATAAAAAAAAATAAATAAAAAAAATCACTAACATGCACTGTTTTTATTTGTCAATTCCTTTTCACCTGATCCTTTAAAAGACATACAAATGTGCTGATTAAAGTGCGTAGTATCGGAAATCCTAAATGTATGTTTGAAATAACTATCATGCATCCAAAACTGCATTGTGTTGTCTCAAAACCCTACAATGACACTGAGAAAGACCAATGAACAATATCGGCCTAAACCTTGCTACAATATGCGTCTATTTTCTAAGCTGAGAAACTAACGAATTTTTTAAAATTTAGTTCCACATGTCTGGAAATGGAATATTGGATGTTACCAACTTTTTATTTTAAAATCTCTATAAAAATGTTTTTCACAAAATATTTTCGATATTGTTTTTTTTTGTAGTCCGTCCCTGCTGCAAAACTAGCAAGGATGTTAACTTTTTTCTTCTAAAATACAATGGCGCCCTCTGTACTTACTCAGTTATATTTCACATATTATTAAAGTAAAGATGTAGATATCATTGTGCCAAAAATAATCCTTCTAAAGCGTTTACTTTTGAATATTAATAACAGATGGCGGTTAAGATATAATACTTCTTTGTGTACGAACGCCATTTCTGATCCGTTTGTTCCACCAGAAGTTCGGATGTAAAAAAAGTTGGGCCACACCAAGGGCGGCTCCCGCTCGAATTTTCTGGAGGGGGCATTGCCAATAACAATTCCCTTATTAGCATATTTTTTAATAATTGTCTCATGGGCAAGAATGTTAATCTCGCTCCCCCCCGAAGCCGCCTTCAGGGCCAGTGCCGTCTTTCATATGATTGGGGCCCTGGGCCCAAGGCGGAAATGGGGCCCCTACAAAATTAAAACAACTTAAAACTATTATTTACAATTAGTGAATA